AGTCTCAAGCTGTCGCCCTGGGTAGAGTGCTGTAGCATCACAGCTCACAGCAACCTCAAACTCTTGGACATAAGTCTCCCAAGTAGCTGGAACTACAGGCGCCCATCACAACACTTGGGTATTTTTTTTTTTGTTGTAGTTGTCATTGTTGTTTTAGATGGCTGGGGCTAGGTTTGAACCTGCCAGCCTTGGTGTATGTGGCTGGCGCTACCCACTGAACTACCTATCGGCACCGCCTGATTTTTCTATTTTTAGTAAAGATGGGGTCTTGCTCTTGCTCAGGCTGGTCTCAAACTCCTGAGCTCAAGTAATCCACACACTTAGGCCTCCCAGAGTGCTAGGAATACAGGAATGAGCCACTTTGCCCAGCCCTTTACCCCATTTTTTAACCAGATACTCTACCTCCAATACGTAGGGTTAGCCATTCAATGTTTTACCACTAAACTGTGGGCCATGCAGAACATAAGTCCCCGTAACTATGATGTCCTCCTGAAAGGAGGCTGGAAATTAACAGGGAAGAGATTCACGCTGTGCCCTTTAGTTCAGAGATGACATTCCTCTTGTTCTGCAGAAGGCTTGAAATGTACTTCTATTTTCCCAAACTAGTCACCCACTCCCTCACACACACTTGTGACCAGCGACACCTGTGTGTGGCTGGTGAGAGTAAGGTAAGAGTTACAGATTGGGGTCTGCATACAGATGGGGTCTGCATACAGATGGAGCCACTGTCCTAACCCTGTGTTTCTCAACAAAGCCGGGTAGAGATCTATGGGCAAACTCTATGTCCAAGAGTTTGAGGTTGCTGTGAGCTGTGATGCCACAGCACTCTACCCAGGGCCTGGCTGCAGAGATCTGTCAGTAGTGAGTAATCCCTATCCACTGCCTTCATCTCACTGAGAGGAGAAGGGAGTGTTCCTTCATGGAGGGAACTGACTTCAGATAACCCACCCCATGTCTGGGAAGGGCAGCTGGCATCACTATTGCATAGCACAGTCTCTGGGCAGGAAAGCAGGCGAGGAACCCTACAGAAGCGTCTAAGAGAGAACACACAGGAATAAGTGTGGTACTACCCCTAAGTTCCCAAGCACCTGCTTCACTTGGTTATTAAACCCACAATGACAGAAGCTGAATGAGATCTGATACTTTATCCGTGTGGTTTTGACACTGCAGCGAAGTTACATGAGTATTTATGTTATCTTCCATGGTAGGCAGAATAATGGCCCCTTAAAGATGTCCACGTTCTGATCTCTGGAATCTGTGAATTTGTTTCCTTATATAGAAAAAGGAACTTTTCTTTCTTTTTTTTTCTTTTTTTTGAGACGGAGCCTCAAGTTGTCCCCCTGGGTAGAGTGCTGTGGCTTCACTGCTCACAGCAACCTCCAACTCCTGGGCTCAAGCGAGTCTCCTGCCTCAGCCTCCCAAGTAGCTGGGACCACAGGCGCTCGCCACAGTGCCTGGCTATTTTTTGGTTGCAGCCATCATTGTTGTTTGGCAGGCCCGGGCTGGGGATGCACATGTGTGTGTTGTGTCTGTGTGCCTGGCGCCTTAGCCGCTTGAGCCACAGGGGCTGAGCTAAAGGAACTTTTCCAAATATAGTTAAGAAGTGGGAAATGGGGAGATCACCCAGGCAGGTCCAAGGTCATCTTATAAGTGAAAGATGGGATGGAGTCTGGACAGTCAGGGAAAGCACGATGATGGAGGGTTGGAGTACACAGCATGAGAAAGACTCCACTAGCCATTTCTGGCTTTGAAGATGGAAGACAACCACAAGCTCAGGAACATGGAAGCCTCTAGAAACTAGAAAAAGCAAGAAAATGCATCTTCTCTAGAGTCTCCAGAAGGAAAACAGCCCTTCTGACACCTCAATTTTAGCCCAGTAAGACCCATTTCAGATGTCTGGCCACCAGAACTACAAGAGAGTAAATCTGTGTAGCTTTAAGCCACCAAATTTGTGAGAAATTGTAGCAGCAGCAGCGGCAAACTAATATACTTGACTTTGAGAATCCCATGCATCTAAGGACAGAAATGAGAACTTCCTCCTCTCTCTCTGACCCAGTGGTAATGCCATGCTATTTGTGGAATAGACCTACTCCACCTTGCTCCATGATAAATTCTGTCCAAGACACTTAGGCTAGAAGCTTCTTGAGGGAGAGGGCCCTGGCCATCCAGCTGGCACCTGCGGTCTGAATACAGAGCCATGCGCTGTGAGCCACAGCTCTCCTCTGGGGGGTATTTGCTAACATGACATTAGAACCACAATCACTGGCTTGGCACCTATGGCTCAAGTGGCTAAGGCGCCAGCCACATACACCTGAGCTGGCGGGTTCAAATCCAGCCCGGCCTGCCAAACAACAATGACGGCTGCAACCAAAAAATAGCCAGGCGTTGTGGCGGGCGCCTGCAGTCCCAGCTACTTGGGAGGTGGAGGCAGAAGACTCGCTTGAGCCCAGGAGTTGGAGGTTGCTGTGAGCTGTGATGCCATGGCACTCTACCCAGGGGCACAGCTTGAGGCTCTGTCTCAAAAAAAAAAGAACCACAATCACTTTGTGAGCAAGGGGGAAAGAAGAAAGGAGTCAAAGGGCACAGTTCTTCTGTGGACATTTTATAGAACTAGTCTCTTTCTAGGGCCCAGCCATCCTATCTCCAGGAAAGAATCTGACAAGCATAATTTATGCCACACTGTGTGAATTTCTATCAGCAGGTCACCTTTGCCTGGGGTATTTACATTCTGAGTTTATCCTCTGTTCTTTATTAAGGAGTTTTCAGAGGTTGGCCACTTGCGGCCCCCCTGCCCGCCCCCACCCCGCCCATAACACTCAATACAGTCTCTGTGCTGTACTGACACACACTGGACTTCCCAAGACAATCCATGGCAAGAAAGTGTGGAGAAAGCAAGAGAGAGCTAAACTGCAATCTTTAGCTATGCACACCAACCCCAGGCAAAGAACATGGAACTATCACCAATTTCCTAGATGGATTCTTGGATGCTTCTGAGGCCAGTTCCTGGTGCAGAGCAGTTCCATGTCCTAGCTGTGGAATTATGTGGGTTTATGCATAAGAGTCAGGGAAAATGGGATGGTTATAAATCCTAGACTCCTGATTGGACTGACGAGAAAGATGGTTCACTCCATTAGCTACAATTCGAAGACAGTGAGAAAAGAAAGTCTCAGGGTAAACGGACATAATGCTCTGTTAGCTGCACTAAACCTATCTGGAGACATCTAAGCAGGTATTAAAGTTACGGGGTCTGGGATCCCACAGTAGGCAGTAGTGGAGCTGACGCAAGAAGAACAGATTAATAGATTAAGTCTTCTGGAATGAGAAGAGATGAGTGCAGAGTCTGGAATCCCGGTCAACACCAACATTTAAGGAAATAGTGATGGAAAAGCTCACAAAGAAACTGAGAACAAAAAGCAGTGAAGTGTCGGGAAAACTAGGAAATGTGGTCTTCCAGAAACAAAAGACAGGGAAGCTTCAAGAAGGGACAGGTCAGGGGTGCTTGTGGCTCAAGGAGTAGGGCACTGGCCCCATATACCAGAGGTGGTGGGTTCAAACCTGGCCCTGGCCAAAAACTGCAAAAAAAGAAGGGACAGGTTAAAGATGCCAGATGTTCCAGCCAGGCCAAGGATGATGAGACCAGAAAGAGAGGCCCCAACAGGGCAGTGCCAGGGCACTGGAGCCACCGAGGGGCAGCTTCTGCACACACGCTGGCTGTGTGCACATGTGTGTGTTGTGTCTGTGTGCACAGGCACATGCACTGGGTGGGGAAGGGGAGCAGAAATGAAATCACGAGGATTGGAGAATGAGCAGGAACTGAGGTCACAGAGACAGCAGGTGTACGCCATTCTTTTCAAGAAGCAGAGAAGTGAAGGAAGGAAAGGAATGGAGCAAGAACCTAAAAAGGCATCAAGATCAAGACGAGGCTTTGTTTTGTTTTAGAACAGCAAAAACTTGACTACGAGAAATGACGATATCGATGAGCAAAGAATCAGAACACTGGGTTGAAATGACCTGGCAGAATTAGATATGAGTGTTGCTGAATTTGTGATAATGAGGACAGTGATGTCATCTCCCCCACGCCCCTGTAAGAGCAGAGGATGGGCCTTCCCAGCGGCTCTGAGGTGGTCTGTCCCAACCACAGCCTCACCTCATGGAGTTTGTCAGCCTTCTGGGTCTGCTTCTTCCGACTTCTCTGAGCAGCAACTCGGTTTTTTTCTCTCCTCCGGACCTTCCTGTCATCATCCTCGGGGCTCTGGGGGAAAACATTTGGGGAGGTGTGATGTTGAGGCCCCTTCTCTCTTCACTCAGCGCAGTTCACTGAGGGCACCATATGTGCTGTCTGTAGCAGAGCTTGCTGCTACCCCCGCCGCTGACAGTAGCCCCTGGTCAAGAAATACTTGCTGTGCTGCTTAGCTGTTCATCCCCGTGACCACCATTTAAAAGATGAGGAATAAGAAACTCAGAGAGGTTAAGGAACTTGCTCCAGGTATCACGGCCAGTAGGAAGTGGAACTCAGGTCTGTTGGTCTCCAAACCAACGTTCATAAACCTCTACCCCACAGGGCGTATGCCTGGAGGAGCTGTGGTGTCATTGTTTTTCATCAGGGACTGGGAAAACCAGGGGATATCTGCTCTCTGGAACAGCCCTAACACCATCACACAAAACAGGTACTTTTGATACTGCGTGCAAATCATGATTACACTTACAACTAACTGCAACCACATAACTACCAACACACGAAATGACCTCAACTCCCCACTGACATTGTACTTATTTGAACAATGCTAAACTGGCATTTTGTTTCAGAGATCAGAGTGAATCAGAAAGCAAAATTATGATGTATCTTGAAAGTTCTTAGCTACCTATGAGATTTAGCCACACTTAGTCAAATCCTTTAATCACAAAACAGGCCAGCAGAAAAACACATCTCCCAAGGTTTTTACACTCCATTCAGTTATAGAAAACATAAAAAGGTAGAGAAGTATTTGCTTTCCAGGACCTAAAGCAAAGACATCACGGATGAAAAAATACTACCCTTAAAAAGTTTAAGAGCCTGGGCAGCGCCTGTGGCTCAAAGGAGTAGGGCACTGGCCCCATATGCCAGAGGTAGTGGGCTCAAGCCCAGCCCCAGGCCAAAAAAAAAAAGAAAAAAGTTTCAGAGCCAAGAGGTTAGTGAGATAGCCAGGAAAGCTACTCAGTTATTAAGAGTAGTGGAAAGCAAATACTGATAACCAAAAGAGTATTTTCACTTCTCATTGGATCCGGCCTTGCATCCCAAAACAGAAAGACATAGATTATCTCCCCAAATTACTACAGGTAAGAATTTTCAGGCTTGGCGCCTGTGGCTCAAGCGGCTAAGGCGCCAGCCACATACACCTAAGGTGGCGGGTTCGTATACCCAGCCCAAGCCTGCCAAACAACGATGGCTGCAACCAAAAAAAAAAAAAATGGCCAGGCGTTGTGGCCGGCACCTGTAGTCCCAGCTACTTGGGAGGCTGAGGCAGGAGACTCGCTTGAGCCCAGGAGTTGGAGGTTGCTGTGAGCTGTGATGCCATAGCACTCTACCCAGGGGGATAGCTTGAGGCTCCGTCTCAAAAAAAAAAAAAAGAATTTTCAGCATATGCAAGAATTACAAGGGTTTAAAAAGAATAACATAAATAACACACACAAGGGGCCTGAAGACAAAGCTTAAGGGAACAGAGACAGGTGTAAAAATGCAGTCTTCCAGAGGTAGAGAAGTCTTTTTTTTTTTTTTTTGAGACAGAGGCTCACGCTATCCCCCTGGGTAGAGTGCTATGGCATCACAGCTCACAGCAATCTCCAACTCCTGGGCTCAAGCGAGTCTCCTGCCTCAGCCTCCCAAGTAGCTGGGACCACAGGCGCCGGCCACAACGCCCGGCCATTTTTTTGGTTGCAGCCATCATTGTTGTTTGGTGGGCGGGCTGGGGATTTGAACCCACCACCTTAGGTGTATGTGGCTGGAGCCCTAGCCACTTGAGCCACTTGAGCCACAGGCGCCCAGCCGAAGTAGAGAAGTCTTGATAAATATAACCAGAACACGGCAGGGGAAATATGTGATAGCCAGGACAGAACTTCAGCTTCAGACCTAGATTTGTCTCGAGTGTCAGTATGTTCTTGGGTAAATGATTTAAAGTCTCTGAATTTTCAATTCCCTCATTTATTTTAAGTGTGATGCATGCATTCTTTCAGTGTATATTAACTAGGCAAAGGGTCAGTGATCTCTGCAGCCTTCATGCTGACAGCCTGATGCTTAGGGTTGGCACACATTTGGGGAGATTTTGTCCCAAAGCTCCCAGGCCACAGTATGCCCTTAAGAAGTTACCTGTCTTTGTTGAGGTTGCTATTTTTTTTTTTTTGTATGATAGGTCTTTATTGGTGGGGGAGGGAGGCTGCAGAGCAGCACCAAGGAGGAGAGAAAAAGAGAAGAGAAAAGAGGAGAGAGAAGAGGAGAGAGAGGAGGAGAAGAGAGCGAGGTTGCTATTTTTTAATTGAATCCCCATAGTGCTTTGCACCATATCATGCCTCTTTGTTCGCCATGATCAAAAAGGCACAGGACACAAGAAAGTAGTCTGGATACTGCCCTCTGGGAACTGATAAGTTCACCTACATTGTCCTTATCAACTATCAGGGATGGTCACATCTACCAACCCAGCAGAAACATTTAATCAAGACAAAGAAGCACGGATTTTAGGTATTCACATATTATTAACCATATCTCGTGTAATCCTCAAAAATCCTGAGAGGTTGATGTTATAATATTCATTTTACAGACTGGGAAACTGAGGCTCTGAGAGGTGTGTGGTAAAGCGGCGGAACAAACTCAGTTCTGCGTGACACTCCAGCGGTACCCCAAGACACTGTGCGCGGGGCACGCACCTGGGAAGGGGGCGGGAGGGGAAGGAAAGTAAGGATGAAAAGACTCAGTCTTCTTCCCAAGGCATCTGGTACGAAGTTTCTGAACGGCTGTCCCTGCCAGTAACATGGTCCTCAATTCTGAGAGCGCGGTTGTAAATGTTGCCAAGGCCAGAGCAGAGGATTGCCTGGACAAGGGCGAGGGGGTTCCACCAGCGCGGGGGGGTGGAGTCTGCTCACAGTAGGTCCCCACCCCACACCCCCAAGCTGACCGGTTCTGCGTTCCCCAGACCATCGGCAGCCAGAGGAGGGTGGATGTAGGGAGTGGCTGAGGTCGAGCCGCCCCTTTCAGGCTGAACTGTCCTTCTCTCTGCGCTCTGGTCCCCTCCTGGACCGGCTGGGAAGGGCCACCGCTCAGGGATGCGGCGGCCTCCGGGGCAGAGCGGTGCCCACGTGCTGGGGAGCCTGGGCCGTGCGCGCCCAGCCCGGCGTCGGCGCCCTCGGGTTTCTCCGCCCTCGGGGCGTAGGAGCCATCCCAGGCGCCCGTGTCCTTGGCCCGCCCCTACTCCCACGCCCGCTATCTCGGCTCCCGCAGCGCGCTCCACCCCCGCACCTCGGCGGTCCCTGCCGCGGAACCCCGGCGCCCACCTGCTGGTGCCATCCCCAGTCCCGCGGCCCCTTAGCCCGCTACCTGTGGCTGCGGCTGGTTCCCCGGCGTCGCGGCGCTCCTCTGAAGGACGCTCCAGGCGGCGGGGAGACCATGCGACATGCCGGGCGCTTCTCCGGCCGGCCCGCCCCGCCGCGCAGCCTCGCAGAGGAGCGGCCGCCGGCCCTCCGCGCCCTGCACGCGGGCTCTGCCTAGCGGCGCTCTCCCCGCGCCAGCATCCCGCGCCCCGCACCTGCCGCCGCCGGCCCCCGGCCCCGCCCCTCGGGCTCCTGCTCCCCTTCCAGCCGCTCCCGGCACCGCGCGGTCGCTGGTGTCCCCACCCCCGTCCCAGCCCGCCGTCCTTCCCGTCCCCGGGTCTGCCCCGCCCCCTCTTTCTCCCACCCCCGCCTCGTTTCCTCCTTTCCCGCCCTCTGGCCGCACCCCGGGGTCCCGAATCCCACCTCTGTCGCAGCTTTCTGCTGGGGCCCCGCGCTTCTTGGAAGTCACGTGGTGGCTCCGAAACTCACGGGGGAGCGCGAAGCCCACCCACAAGAAGCGGCGCCAGGGCGGGTGGGGGTCGGGGCGGAGCTACGCAGCTTTGGGGTCCTCGGGAACTCAGGTTAAGAAACACGAGTGGGTGGTGAGAGGCTGGTGGGTTTTTTTCCCGGTCCCATCACGGCTTCTTCGTGCGCATCAGCCACGCCTTACCGCCACCCCCCTTGCCCTCGGCACGGGGGCACAGTCTCTGGGAACTTTCTCCGGCTCCATCAGTCATCTGGCGCCACTCACACTCCTGCGCCTTCAGGGCAGAGGACAGCGGACTGGGGTACCCGAGAGCCACAGGCGCCTCAGGGCTTTTTTGCGGGGAGCACCTACCCTTCGATTTCCCGGTCCCGCCGGCCTGTGGGAGGAAGCAAGGCTGGGCGGCCCCAAGGGTGAATTCCCTGAGAGGAGGGTGGACAGCGGGAGGCTGTCCCTGACAGGAACAGTGACAGGCTTCCCTGAGAGCGAACCTGCCACGTTGGATGTCACTAATGACAAGTTCAGGAATCTGGTCCAGCCTCGTTAGGTAGGGTTAAATGGACCAGATCCATTTTCAAGATTAAAGTAGCAGGTGCCCTTGTGTGGCGGCGGCCACCCTCATGCCAACCTGGGGAGTGAGTGGAGGTACGGCACGTTCCTCTACACTTGCCTGTAGGTGAAAAGACGCCAAGTCCAGAGAGTTGTAAATGGTCCTAGCCTAGAAAAAGCCAGTGGTTACAGGCTGTGGTCTGCATGCTGTGAACCCCAGGAAAGTAAGACAACCGCAAATCTGGGTGGGCGGGTGGCACCCAGAGCCGAAGGGCAGAGGTGCCATCCGAAAAGTGTGGTCACTTAAGCCTTCGGGTTCGCCCCAGCAGCGGCGGCATGGGGACGGGCACTTCTGATTCCCAGTCCGGCTCGCCTGACCCTCCCTCCGGACTGCGGACCTACTCTGTCAAAGCTTTGAGGGCAGCTTGAGCCAACTTGGGGTGCTGGCTGGTGGCAGAAAAGCAAGCAGAGGTTCTTGCCTGTGTGAGCAGGAGCTTTGGCCAACTGAGAGGAGGGGAGGATGGTAGATGGTGGGCACAGCCCTTTCTCTCAACAAGTCATCTCTCCGCTGCGTTATCTGCGGGGAAGACTCAACTCAGCTCCCTTTTATTTCATCATTCAGCAGATTTCACGGTTGCCCAGGAGGCTATTACTTTTGCATCCCACCCAGGTACACACAAAACATCTAGCACAGTGTTCCGTACACAAGAGCTCAGTACTTCAGTAGGTCAGGTGAGAGCCCTTATTCTTGAGAAAGGACTCACCTCTGGGGCAAGTGGTCCTAATTTTCAGAAGTGATTTCATTCCCCATTACTGTTTGTGCATGGAAAGGCCAAGGTAAAAATCACCCTTGGGACATTTAGGTGCACTCCCATGCTTCAGTCCGGTTATGTCCACTTTTCTGCTTTCACTGAGCCAAACCACAGTCTAAGCCCTTTTAGGGCTGCACCTTCCCGGTACCTTCACTCGAGCCTGGAACTGTGTCCCAAGACATAAGAACTCTTCATATAGGCTTATGTTATGCAAGGGTTTCTTTAAAGGAGGAGTCTTGGTTAGTTAATTAGCATTTAGGGAAGAGAAAAATTTGACCTATGTATCACAGGTAACTTTCAAGAACCATCAAAGTGAATGGATTAAATAATTAGATCCAGAAATAAAAATTGGGGATAAAGCATAATTGAATCCTTATTATGGTCCTGGAGATAAGACAAGAAGAGGATTTTCTAAGAGTACATGTGATGGGAAAAACGACATTGGTAAGCTCTGAACTATATAAAAGTGCCAAATTGTTTTAAATGACAGTATAACCAGAAACTTAAACAGATTAGGAAAATGCAGTGCATACGAGAAAGTGTTAAAATCTCTATTATACATACACCCATGAAAAGGAATAGGAAAACTATTGACACAACCCCTCAAAGGTAAATTGCACAAGTGACATGAACCAGCATTTCCCAACACAGGAAATAAGGAAAAATGGATAGAGGAAAATACGTATTAAAAATGAGAAACTTTTAAACAAATTAGCAAAATAAAAGGTTATAGTATCAAAGGCTGGCAAAAATGTGGTGAAATTAGTACTTGCATATTTCACTGGCTTTATTGTAAATTGGAGAGCAATTTTTTTTTTTTTAGGGACAGAGTCTCACTTTGTCACCTTCAGTAGAGTCATAGCAACCTCCAGCTCTTCGGCTTGGGCAATTCTCTTGCCTCAGCCTCCTGAGTAGCTGGGACTACAGGCTCCCACCACAATGCCAGGGTATTTTTTTGTTGTTGCAGTTTGGCCAGGGTCAGGTTGGAACCCGCCACTCTCAGTATATGGGTCTGGCGCCCTACTCACTGAGCCACAGGCACCATCCCTGGAAAGCAATTTTAATGTAACTCTCAAGAACTATAAAAGAGCCATCACCTTTGACTCTGTTTTCCCACGTCTAGGAATTCATCCTAGGAAGATCATTAAATATTAGGGAGAAAAATACTATATGCACTTAAAGTTCATCCTAACATTTTAAGAGGGAAAACGCATAAGCAACATAAATACCCTATTACAGATAAGTGGCTAAACAAAATAGTTTGTTGCCCCAGGGTAGAATATCATGCATCTTGAAAATTATAAGCGTGAAGACAAATTTACCACATGGAAGATTACTTCACATGAGATAAAATGAGAAGAAAATCAGGAGATACGTATACAGTATGTGAAAATGTATGCATCTGAGAAAAGATTGGAAGAGAACACACGAAGATGGTAGCTTTTCTCTCATGGTGGCGCAATGAACAATTTCTTTTAGGCTCGGTGCCTGTAACTCAGCAGCTAGGGCGCCAGCCACATACACCGGAGCTGGTAGGTTTGAAGCCCAGGCAAGCCCAGGCCTGACAAACAACAATGACAATTACAACCACAAATAAAAAAGAAAAAAAATAGCCAGGCGTTGTGGTGGGTGCCTGTAGTTCCAGCTACTTGGGAAGCTGAGGCAAGAGAATCACTTAAGCCCAAAAGTT